AGTTCTAGAAACGTTGCGTCATAGTAGTCACGTGACTCGCTGACGCAACAATACCCTAATCACTAAATTTGCCACCAAATACTACAAGAAAGCTAAAACACGCAACTCACTAATTACTCGGTGTCCTAAAATCACTGCAACGCTTATATCAGAGCATAAATATATATCACCCTATGAAAAGATACATAGGCACAACACTGATCTCCTTGATGTATAACCCATAGTCTGTCATTTCCTTCTCCATTTCAACCTCTCCCGTGTTTTGAATTCTCTCTCTCCAGGTCAGCGAGTATTTCCATAAGGATACTTCATATCTTGAGCACTGGTCGAGCAATTATTCGGACTCGGCCAACGAAAGTGACTTTTCTCAGAGGGCCGTTTAAGAAGATAATAGAAGAGTAATCCAATTATCTGTAAGTAAACCGAATACTGCACAATTCATGGGTCTCCTGGACTCTCATGAGCGGTCTCGTTCCTTCTTTTACTTTCTTATACACTCCCATGCAAACCTAATATTTCACGTAAGCACTACTGTTATTATAATTTTTTTTACTCTTTCGCGGGCGGGACGATGGAGGATTGCTAACTTGCTGTGTAGAAGCCTGTCAGGTAGTAGTTGTATGTTCGAATAATTATGTAAAAAAGCTGAAGATATTGTTTTGGGGACTTTGTATGCTGTTGTGAGTAATAAATCTTGATTTGTTTGTAAGTCAATTGTAATTAATGAGGGGCGATATTACTCCATGTGGGCATGCATATTCCATAAGTGAGCGTATGTATGTTGTGTATCGACTAGACAAGCAATTAAGATTACCTTTTGAATTCAAAGGCGTTTTCTTGGTTTTATTTCTTCTAGGAAATCATTGAGTGAATACTGTGTTTGAAAATCATCGTGTCTTAGTTATACAGAGATCACTCACTGGAAAATGAATGCTGTTTGACTAAGTAGAAATTCTACTGTGTAAGTGGATACATTTTTATATGTTATTTCTTATCTGATAATAAATATTGTATTCATTTTTGCTAAATTCGTCCAGTCTCGTTATTTTGCACACACACTAGGAAAACTCACTTAGACTATCAGATTTAGATTACTCTCATCATTTCTCGATTAAATCTGCTGTTATTACTGTATCTAACTCTCTCATACTCATCAGGAAATCAGTTTCTACCTGAAAATAAACAGTTAAATAGAAAGAAGAAATTTTAGTGCAATAGCATCAGGATTTCTTGTAGAGTTTTTGCTTTTGTTAAAGTGCATATTAGCCCATTGCTTGTTTGTTTGTAATTAAGCACAAAGCTACACAATGGGCTATCTGGGGGGCAGCCCGTTGCTTGATCTCTTGTGTTGGGAAGAGTTTAAGAACACTTCTCACTGAAAGAATGACATTTTCTGGGCAGAAGTACTTATGAGTGAGGGGAAGAATTTACTGGCAGAGAAAGTTCGTTGTACAAGAAAAATATCTAATATAGAAGAAGTCCTCTTTTAGACATAGAAAACAGACCAATGCTCTGTCGAAATATGTAGTATGTATTAACTTTTTTATTATGCTTACAAATCGTTGTGTCTTATATATATACAAGTGTACTAGCATAATGTGCTTCCATACACAAATATTGTCTATTTTGCAGAGCTTATGACATCGGTAAACCTGAAACTGCTGATTCAGTGAGATTGCTCACGTCTGGAACATCCAATGCATTTGAGCAAATGCTATTTTTGAGGATCAATCTCAATAAAAGATAAGCATGAACAATTGAGGGTTGTTAAAGTGGAATGGAACCTTGTGAATTTGAAAATGCATGGGGAAGTCTATTTTGAACTTCTGGGCTGTTCCCAGCCAGAACACAGCAGCCACAGTTCTGGTCCAGATCACTAGTATACAGAAGTTTGATGTGCTGCTGCTGGATGATTTTGGCCAGTTAAGTTTGTCTCCTCAGCAGATTAGACAATAGGTATCCAAATGTGAAGACTATAACCCATTGGGTGAGACACTTTTTAGGACATCATTGTTTCCAGTAACATAAACGACACCTCATGATTCCTAGTGTCATGCAGGGCTGTACAATGAGCCACTTTAAGTAGTTTATTGCTCTGTAACTCTGGACCAGAGAGTTACCACAAGTTTTGGTGTTGATGAGACCCTGTCAATGGCTTCCATCCAAAACTGAGAACATCAGTAGTATCTCCTGGCATCCATTGGGATTATGAGAAAGAGGGCTTTGGTTCTGCACACAGGTTTCTGCGAATGAAGCCAAACAAATCACGCACCCAATGTTAAAGGGAATAACAAGAGAGAACATAGACAAGTTCCTAAAGCATTTTAGGCAGGTCACTGGATAAGATAGATGGATTCAAAAACAGGCTGTGCAATGCCTGATCATGAGCGTAAATAGTCCATTCCTTAACACTGTTGAATATTTGGAAGAGAAGCAGTAGGACGACTGGGAGACAGTAGTGTACGAACTGCATTGCCATTTTGACCCAGTGGAGAATCAAGATTAGAGAGTAACATCTGATAACTGTTGGTAGTAGCTCTCATTAAACTGAAAATAACTGTTTCTCAGCTTCAAATTTAACATATCTTTGGTGTGTTGAATTGTGTATCCCGCTAAATCTACAATTTCTTTATGATTCTCCACAAATTCTATGACCAATTCAACCCTTCATCAATAGGAATAGAGTGGTACAACGACTCACTATCCAGACAGAATAATATACTATCTGGATTGATGACGTTACTGGAAGAAAGGAGGTTTTTACGAAATCTTGAGTGCTTTTAAGTATGTAGAAATACAATTCAAACAGTTGAGAAGTAGTCTATCTACAAGTGACGAGAGGTTTCCATTGGTGAGTCATGGAAAGTGTTATCAGAAAATACAGTGTACCTGTTATTTTTAAATGATATTGAGGGAATGTTTCAATTTTGATCAAGATATTCTACAGGTTATGAATTTTTCGTGAAAGAGACAACAGTAACAAAAAAGGCTCACACAATGGTGAGACAGAGAAAACACAGTTTTACATGTTGGTTCTAACACTGTTTTATTTGATGTTTCTGATAAGCATAATACAAATATATTTCAACCTGATTAAGTTGAAAAATTAACGAGTGAGTGAAACTGTAACTTTTTTTGGTTGTTAAACAAAGCTATATAACGGGCATGCAGACTTACCATTCAGCCACTAGAGGTGAAGTTGTTTGTGAAACATGAAATTCACAAGTAATGACTTAGATATCATAACAAATATATGCATGTGTGTGGCCAGTATCTTATCTTATTGTGATAGGAATATTTTCAGTCATGGAGATTGAAATATTTTTATTAAGCAAACAGTTTTACTGAATATTTTCTTAATGCTGTTTCATTACAAAGTGTAATTTTGAAACATGAAAATGCAATTTGTACATGTAATATCAAACTGTTGTAAAATCTGTAAATTTAAGAAATTCCATAAGCAAAGACAATGAAACTTGCAGCAAATGGCCTGGAATGCTCTGGTGATTAGGGCACTCGACTCGCAGTCTGTGGGTGGCAGGTTCAAATCCCCGTCACCAAACATGCTTGAGCTTTCAGCTGTGGAGGCGTTATAATGTCATGGTCAATCCCACTATTCATGGGTAAAAGAGTAGCCCAAGACTTGGCAGTGGGTGGTGTTGACTAGCTGTCTTCCCTCTAGACTATGACTGCTGAATTAGGGATGGCTAGTGCAGATAGCCCTTGTTTAGTTTTGCACGAAGTTCAAAACAAACCAAACTAAACCTGACAGTAAATGCTAAAGACCAAAAGTGAGGTTAGAATCTTCCAACCTGAAACAACTTGACTGTGTAGGACTCAAGAAGTCTTGACCTCCATTCTTTCCTACTGTAACTTGGCTCTGTCTATATGACAACCAGACAGTAGGCCAGGCCAGAGATTTTGACACGTTTGTTCCCATTGTCAGGCAGGGGAAGCAGAGTGTGGAACAGCCATAAATAGCTGGTTGGAAGAAACCTCCGGGAAATCAGATAGGCATGAGTGAACATTGCAACCACATTTAACGTACACACTCAGCTAAACTTTTGACCAATTAGAACTTGGTCAACCTTTGTATTTGAATCCGGACTTTTAGTATTTAAAGCCAAGTTGCAGCCATGGTCAGTCTCTCTTTCATTGGCTACCAGTGGTTTTCCTGTCTTACCCTATTCTAAGAATGCATTTTGCTATCAAGATGGACCCTTCGAGTTACTCTAGATATGAAATTATTGAGATCCTGTAGGATACCCAAGACTTCTTCTTGAGCAAAGTAGCTCAAAACACAACCAAAGATGAAACATCCATGCCTGGCTTGACTTACATATTGCCCAAGTCAATGGATGAAGATGTATTGCTAGGCAACACATCTGACGTAGGAGAGCTCAAAGCATCTGTTGTCATTTTGGTCCTGGAGCCTTTAGATGCTGTATTACCATCTTCAGTGGCAGAGAATATCACCAGTACTAAGGAGGAAATATACATATTGCTTGGCCAATATGTAGTTCACTGTCATAACTGAACATTGCGACTGCCTTCAACCATTCAACTGAACTTTTACCAATTATATCTTGGCCAATCTTTGCATACGAATCCAGACTTTCAGGATTTAAGGGCTAGTTCCAACCATGGTCAGTTTCTCTGCTCAAGGACCCAACAATGGCAAACCAGTCATGACCCCAAAAAAGAACAGCCTTCTAGATGCCCAGCAGCCTTTATCACAATCATCTCTGATACCAGTGAAGGAGGAGATGAAGTCTGGTAACTTGTCCAAAAACTGAAAAAGGTTATCCACACTAGGTGTATCTTAAGGGGGGTATCCAACTCGTGAGAAGATAGAGGTGAGGCAGGCTTCAGTACAAATCCAAGCTGGAAAAACTTCGACAACAGCTGTATAGACTAGTCAGCTGACTTATGGATCAGAACCGGTAATCAACAAGATAGCTTCTACATCGACAACCAGGACTAAACTTGTCAAAACGTTTACTTTAAAATAATTGCTTTTAATTCTCTTGTTATGAAAAAATTTAACAATCATGAAATACTCACTCACAAAATAAATAAATTAATAATATCTACACTAAACAGTCTAAATATCATGACAATTATCTTGTCAGGGCTGTGCAAAGTTCAATAACTGCTTATACATTTTGATGTAATAGAGATAATTGTGAAATATATTCATATATATATATATCCATATCTTGGATTCTATTTTATATTAATAGATAAGTGCCCTGTCTCTTTCACGTGTGAAAGCGCAGGATTTAAAAATTTTCTGTGTATACATTTCTTTTCTTTTATGTTGTGTAAATATTATAAATATAATGCGCTCTCTCCTGCATATATATAGACGTCGCTAAGTGCTTAAAGGATTCGGGGTTTGAGCCCATAGGTGCGGGAATTTTCGGCGTTTCAGTTTGACATTGATCATGGTTTTTGCATTCTGGTTTTTCAATACATCATCTGGGAATTTGGGGCAAGGGCCTCTACCTGCACACATGAGTTCTCGTAAACAAGTTTGTTTGTTTGTTATAGATTTCGCGCAAAGCTACACGAGGCTATCTGTACTAAATTAGGGACGGTTAGCTAAAAGAGTAGCCCAAGAGTTGGCGGTGGGTGGTGATGACTAGCTGCCTTCCCTCTAGTCTTACACTGTTCCACGATAGTGGGATTGACCGTCACATTACAACACCCCCACGGCTGAAAGGGCGAGCATGTTTGGTGTGACGGGGATTCGAACCCGCGACCCGCAGATTGCGAAGTCGAGCACCCTAACCACCTGGCCATGCCGGGCCCAAACATACTGCATGTTTACTTCATGTTAGTCCACATGAAAACAACAGGCGTTATCGTCCTAGGCTTTGACATGTAGCAAATAAAAAAATTAAGCTCCGTTATTCCATCAGTCAAGAATATTTGTACAAATTTCTTAATTTTGTCACGGTTTCTGTGTTACAGGAACATAATCGTTTTATCAAGATTTCTACATTACAGAAACATAGGTTGCTACTTCCATTTTATTAAGGTTTCTGTGTTGCAGAAGCATAGGTTGCTATTTCCATTTTATTAAGGTTTCTATGTTACAGAAACGTAGGTTGCTACTTCCATTCTATTAAGGTTTCTGTGTTACAGAAACGTAGGTTGCTATTTCCATTTTATTAAGGTTTCTATGTTACAGAAACGTAGGTTGCCACTTCCATTTTATTAAGGTTTCTGTGTTACAGAAACGTAGGTTGCTATTTCCATTTTATTAAGGTTTCTA